TTGTTTGTTCATGTTAGTTAATACATTAACTAACATTAACTAATGGAACCTTATTGTAAAGTGTTACCGTAGGGGTGAACTATCCCTTTAATACACAAAACCTTGAAATTGCCATAGAAATAAGACACATAGACCAAGAAGATTAATTAAGTGTGAGTATAATTAAGTTCAGTTTCAAAGCTCTACGACATTTAAAAATGCAGGCTGCTACCAAATCTGCCGTCACTATATACTTGTCCTTTTCTTGTCTCCCTCTTCGCCCTGCATTGTTCTCTCTCTCTCTCTCTCTCTCTCTCTCTCTCTCTCTCTTGCCCTCAGCTGCATGAGTCACTCGTTTAACTGAATGTTGATTGCAAAATAGTTCAATTACTATAGATTTCCAGCCCTTCATCCTTTTCTGCCTCCCTCCTTTAATGTCCTCTTAAACACACACGCATACGCACGTCTCACTTAGTGCAGCAAGAAAATAAATAAATAAATTCTTTCTTGATTTGTGACCAGGCTTTTTGAGCGATCCATTCATTCTCTTCATCTGAGTTCATGGGAAAATACATACAATGTACCTCAGTGAAATTGCCTCAGATAGTGACTTGCGTTAAGCTAAATTGAAACTTATAGATATGTGTTTTATGGCTGACTGTGTGATGACTTGAACAAGGCTGAAATCATGTTTAAGAGTCTGTGGTGATCTTCTCAAACAGACGAGGCGGTTTTGCTAAGTGATGGGTGTAAAAGAGAAAGGGAGGTGAGCAGATGTGGATTTGGGCTTTGTGGTTTTACAAGGATTTCATCATATATAGACCATAATTTAAGACCTTTTGCCGTCAAATTCCCATTTTCTGCAATACACTGCCATTCAAAAAGTGAATACGTTTATTCTTCAAGGTCACATTAAATCGATCAAATTAACTGTTACAAAAGATTTCTATTTCAAAGAAATGCTGTTTTTTTAGCTTTCTATTCATCAAAGAATCCTGACAAAAAAATGTGTCATGGTTTTAACAAAAATATTATGCTGAAGTGTGGACTGAAAAAATGATCTTTAAAAAGAAATTGGAAGTTGACTAGTCATGAACATCAAGATTGCAGGTTAAAATACACCAAAATAAGCAGCGTAAACACTGACAATAATAAGAAATATTACTTGTTCACCTAATCAGCATATTAGAATGATTTCTGAAGGATAATGTGACACTGAAGACTGGAGTAATGCTGCTGAAAATTCTGCTTTGCATCACAGGAATAAATTACATTATGAAATATATTCAAATAGAAAGCTACTATTTTAAATTGTAATAATATTTCACATTATTACTGTTTTTATAGTATTTTTTAATCAAATAGCTGTAGCCTAAGAGTATTAAACATGACAAAAACATGTAAAAAAATCCTACTGACTATCAGCAGAAAAAAGATTGAAATAGCGTTTTTGGAATTTATTTTAATGTTAAGCATCATGTTCAGTCTTTGCAAAAATTAACAGTGTTTAATTGCCAAAATACAATAATCACTAAATCAAAATAAAACAAGATTTTTTTTTATAACAGATTACCATAATTCTTTTTTATTTTAAAGGACCATAGTATTTACTGAATTGCTACCTAAATGCCATAGTACTTCAAATGAATATATGCTGACAATTCAGTATTGTCATATCAAAGTACCATGGTATTACCATCTGATCCCATGGTGATGCCACAGTATTAATCAAATAGCTGTAGCCTAAGAGTATTAAACATGACAAAAACATGTAAAAAAATCCTACTGACTATCAGCAGAAAAAAGATTGAAATAGCGTTTTTGGAATTTATTTTAATGTTAAGCATCATGTTCAGTCTTTGCAAAAATTAACAGTGTTTAATTGCCAAAATACAATAATCACTAAATCAAAATAAAACAAGATTTTTTTTTTTTATAACAGATTACCATAATTCTTTTTTATTTTAAAGGACCATAGTATTTACTGAATTGCTACCTAAATGCCATAGTACTTCAAATGAATATATGCTGACAATTCAGTATTGTCATATCAAAGTACCATGGTATTACCATCTGATCCCATGGTGATGCCACAGTGTTCATTTTGTATGGATATGCTTTACAGTACTAATGATAACTGTTGTTACTAGGGCATTTTTGTGGAAAATTATGGTTACCATGGTGAATTCTTTTAAGGATGATATCAAAGAGAATAACCAGCTCAGATCCTGGCTTCCCCATTACCTACCTTTTTGGAGAATTAAATGTATTACAAAAATGACAAATTTAGGTATAGTAATTTATATGCAATGCCACCTTTTAGCCCATAAATACTTGTAAAGCAGACTTTTAAAATAAATTTAACTCAAAGGTCCAGTCTAAATGTTCCTTACGTTGCATTAGTGCATTAGTGAGGCTAAGAGGCTCTTTGTACGTTTTCTCCCTCTCTCCCGTCTTCTCTCGCCCTCTGTCAGTCTTTCTCTCCTTCATCCCCTTTTATCCATCACTCGACTCAATATTGATCTGAATTCATTTGTTTCTTATTGATTTAGCTCTCCGCCCTCTGCCGCATTGTGCAAACACAAGGACACACAGACTGCTCAGACTACTGCCAACACACACTCAGCCTCGCACGCCATAAACAAGTCACATCACTCCAACTCAAATACAAAAGACATAAAAGGTTTTTTATCATTAATTACAATCATCCTTAAACATACGTTTTCATTCAAAACACAGCACTATTTAGAAGTAAAAAGAGTTTGAAGACACACAGAGAAACACACACACTCGCTCCAGGCTGTGTAATGATGTAGACTGGAGGTGCAGATGCCATATTGATCACTGTCCTGAAAGAATGAATTGAGGAGGACCTGACAAGTGACACAATTAAAGCCGCAAAAGCTTGAAAACCTCTGAAGAGCCTCTTTTATAAGAAAAATGCTCTGTGTTTAAAAAAAAAAAAAGAAGACTTTTTGGTGTAATTTGTGAGTATTATCAAAACAGAATGGCATTTTGAGAGAGTATTTGTGTGTATGTGTCAAAGGCGTTTTCTATATAATACAGTAAATATTACAAAATAAAAGTCATGAGAGGTATAGTTATAGTTTTTAAATCTTTATTTTTGTTATTATTTATGTTCAACATCATTTGATTAAATTGATCAATATTTTATTCAGGTTGATTATTATTTAAACAAGCTAAAATGGATTTCTATAATTTCCTTTTTTTCATACTTAAAATGCCATGGAAATGTTGAAATGTCATGGAGGACCATCTAAATAGCATGGTAAATGAATATGGTGACCATTTAGTACCGTGGTGCAAATAAAAGTAACATGATGCAATTACTTCAGGCTTAAAAAATTGAATGGGGAAAAATTGTAGTAGTACTGCTCAAGATTAATCTGTAAAAATGTATCAACAGAATATTCAGGTTTATAGATGTAGGTATAATAGTTACAATGCCCCATATATTCTTCCATGTGAATTTCATAAATAGATTCTTAAATACTCAAAAAGCTGGTCATGACCTTTCAACACATTGTTTTCAATATATTTCCAAGGCACACATAGTGTGATAAATATAATATAATACATTTTCTGTAAATGACCTTTTCTCTACATACATCTTAAGGAGTTTTTCCTTGTCACTGTCACCTTTGCCTTGCTTACTGTGGGGTTTTTAATGCTACTTTAAAAGTAGTTTTAAAAAAGTGCTTTAGAATTCAATTACAGATATTAATTTGGCACTTTCACTTTTTTTGTGTTGTTTTATTCATGTAGCTAAGATGTTCATAGATTTTTTTGGCAATATGTCATCTGCCGTTCTTACTATTCAGATATATGAGAGTCTGAATTTATTAGCTTGTATTGTTCAGTGTAAGAATGGATAGTGTGTGTGCGCCACATATGCATTTGTATTAATTCAGGATAAGTGCAGCTCTTAACCTATAGACTTTTTCATCAACAGACGTGTACCTCATTTCAAATTTCTGCTTACCGATTATGTCTCTCTACATGAGTCAAGGAGCACTTACATACAATGGAAGTACTACCTGACAATGTACACTGATAATAGCATCTAAAGTAAATCCTGCTGCATTGAACATCCACAATTAGTGAACATTGATTAACTTTTTAGACAGACAGATTGATCAATCTGTGGCTGTAATGTGTCATTCAGAACAATTTGTCATTTTATTGCCTTTTTAAGAGGCAAACTTAGTTAAGATATGACAAATGTCAATAAAGTTTTGTGTAAAGCAAAAAAAATAAATAAAAATTGTAGCCAAGTCCTTATCCTGTAAATCTTTCAATACCGATATCCATTGATAATTCATGTCTTTTCTGATGGCAGGAATGCTGTGGAACTACAGTTTGGAATCATCCATGTTATTCCTTCCCCAAGACTGGAATGATGGAAAGAATTTCAGCATGTACGGTAATATTGAAAATCACTTTCTTTCTCATTCTTTGCTTTTATATCTTGACCTCTCAGTCATACATTATGACTGAAGGGGATTTCCAACATTTCATGTTTCTTTGATGTTTAGAAGTAATGATTTGAATATTGGAGACTCGAAATCTGTTAAAACATGGTCATATTTCACCACAAGATCAGAGAGAAAATTTATTTTTATTTTTGCTTATATTTTCATGACAATTAAACTCCAAATTTTTAGGATGTTTGACTTATAAAAATGTCCATTGTTTTCGATAAAGATACTTTTAAGTACTCTAATACCGTGCTGTAGGGGTGGGTGCTCAGGAGTATTGAACTGAGTTATTTTTGCTGCTTTATACATCTTGAACAGTTAAATACACACACTTGTATGTGTCAAAATGCCCATCTTTGCAAGTATCCTCATAAACACAGTAATTTAGGTCTTAAAGGTGCAATAGGTGATTGTCTTCAGAAATTTTTTTTGTTATGCTGGTTGAAAGTCTGTTCACATAGCGATAGCCCTAAAGAATCATATCAACTTGTGGAAAATGGGCACCCTATGACCCCTTTAAGTTAAGTGGTCTAAATGTATTTATCTGTATTTATATATTCTGTGGAAGGTGCAGGAGCAAGAAATGTTCGTCCTTTTGATTGACGTTTTGATTGACTTTCCTACCTGCCTGTCAACGTATGTATTAGCATACCTCTGCGCACCCAGTTCGCGCAGACAGGATACGTCATCAGCGCGTTCACGCACGCTGTGCAGACAGAGCGAGAATGGCAGGCAAACATCAACAACCTGATCTTCCTTCCTGGTATTGTAGTACTTTTACTAACTGTGCTATAAAGTTTTCTCACCGGTGGATAACACATGATGTATTGTAGTAATGTTGTCTCTGATCATCTGATATATGTACGTATATGCGTTCAGGAGGCGTGGCTTTGGACGGCGAATTGCAGGGAGGGTGGGACATTCGCTTTCAGTGCTATCAGACTAAAGTTAGCATTTTCCAAGATCTCCTACAGCACCTTTAAGTGAAAGCAAACAGCTGAGAAAGAAAACACATGTGTAACAGAATATTGGATGCGGGCAGCTCTTAAAGTGACAGCAGTCTTATATTCCTGCTGTCTGTCATTCATGTTAATCAAACAACGAAAGAGAGAAAATCTCTCACTGCTCTTGACTAAATCACTTTTGTAAATTTAATAAGAAGAAAATGTCTTTAATAATAATAATAATAATTTGCTGAAATGCCTCGTTTCTTGTTTTTTTGGTGTTAAGTACGATGTGGGCATGTTTTGGACATGGTTTCGTGAGATTCACCGCATACAAATCTGTCTTTGCTTTGACAAAAACATAGAGCACTTCCAATTTCAACATGGATTTTATGAATATATATTTTTGGGCATAATTTTACTCTCAAAAAAGCTATTAAATGCATATTTACCCGTTACATATAATTTACAGTTATGCTCACAATCAAACCGAACACGTTAGAGATCCACATCCAGACGCACACAGCTGGCACGGCACTTAGCTGCCACTGACAACACTGTCCTGGCAACCGATGGGCACATCGCCAAGCCAGCAAGTTGCCAAGCAGCGAGTTCCCATAGCAACCTGCCATTCGCTGGCTTTTTGAATAAGGTATCGGCAGGCTTATGGGTTTGGGTGAGGTGGAGAGTAGAGGAAGAGTGACAGAAGAAATAAAAGGAACGAGTTAGTAAAAGAGATGGAGAGAGAGTTTGTTAACTGGCCCTAAATTGAACTTAAATGTATGCGATAAACTTTGAATCTTTTTCACGTTGTGTACACATTTACACAAAATGAAAATGTATCCTTTTTAGTACTGTTTTTTTTTATTATTCAAAATTCAAACCATATCAACATTTGGAAATGTAGAACTCAAAATGAAAACATTTTAGAACTCCTGAACATTTGTTCCAGCTTCATCACTGTGTGGTCTCATAATTAAGATCATGACAAGTGTGTGACCTTATGTCCCAATGATTTGTGCTGGCAAAGACACACACATACACATGCAGGTTGGCAGAAAGCTGGCACTGGCACTGGCACCACCATGCCGCATTTGCACGTGATTGGACTGTGAATGTGGCAGTGAGAGAAAGAAAAGGAAGATAGGGTGGAGCCGAGCCAGAGAGGGAAGGACAAAAGTCTTTATAGATATTAAACCTAAAAAGTGACCTAAACAGTAACATAAGAGCAGGAGGCCAAGTTGTCAACGGTTAGGTTTGTAGTTTAGTTTGCATCAGTAAAATGAATGCGTTTGGCTGTGAAAAGGACAGGGAGTGAGAAAGGAGCTGAATAGACCACGCAGTTAATGTTTGGACCGCATTCACGTCTCACCCTGGAGATCTCTGTCATTGTCAGACGAACAGAGCTGTCCAACATATGTGTCTGCGTCTCTGTCTGTGAGAAGAGCAGTGTGAACATTAACTGTTTCCTGTTAAATGAAGGGTTCACTCAAAAACCGTAATAATCTGATCATTTCCCCTCCAGTGAGCTGTTAACTGATGCGAACGGCTCATTGAGTGAATTGAACTCAAAAACCGCATCAGTTGATGTGTAGAAGTAATGATTTAAATGTTTGAGATATGAATATTTCATATTTCACCCAAAAATCAGAGAGGGGAAAAAATTGCATAAAGAAAATTAAGCCTATTTTTTTTTGTTAATATTTTCAGGACAGTTAAGAACCCTCCTCCCTATTTTTGGGATGTTTGACTTGAAAAAGAAAACCTTTTATTCTCAATAGGGATATTTTTATTATCCTAATACTATATTTTTATTTAATAAATTAAAGGTGTTATCACATGATATGTAAATACTTTACAATTTAAGTGAAATATTAAATAATATTTTTTTTCCAACTTAATAAGTAATTTTATTTTGTATTATTATTTATTTATTTATTGGCTTTAATTATTATGAAAACAATGCCATTGAACAATGAATCATAATAATCCTAATAATATGCTTAAATTTGTATATATATATATAAAAAAAAAATCTGTTGATTTTGGTTAGGACAGTTAAGAACCCTCCTCCCTATTTTTGGGATGTTTGACTTGAAAAAGAAAACCTTTTATTCTCAATAGGGATATTTTTATTATCCTAATACTATATTTTTATTTAATAAATTAAAGGTGTTATCACATGATATGTAAATACTTTACAATTTAAGTGAAATATTAAATAATATTTTTTTTCCAACTTAATAAGTAATTTTATTTTGTATTATTATTTATTTATTTATTGGCTTTAATTATTATGAAAACAATGCCATTGAACAATGAATCATAATAATCCTAATAATATGCTTAAATTTGTATATATATATTAAAAAAAATCTGTTGATTTTGGTTTTAAATATGACCTGGACATGTTTTTGACATGATTTTGTGAGATTCAGACCAAGCAGCTTTGTGTCTTTCCTTTGCAAAGAACCATATCAGTTTGATTATTTACACACAAATCCTTCAATTTTGTTTTGTGAATCAGATCAACAAGTTCATGGAAAAGATTCAAATTTAAAGAATGATTCATTTATGAAATTGGTAATTATAGGGAGGATTTAATGATTTTCATTAAATAGTGATGTAAAATTCTCTATTATTGATTGGAATGTAGTGCCTGATGTCAGATCATAAATCCTCATTTATAGTAATTGAATGTAAATTTGAATACATTTCTCCGTTTTTGACATGATTTTGTGAGATTCAGACCAAGCAGCTTTGTGTCTTTCCTTTGCAAAGAACCATATCAGTTTGATTATTTACACACAAATCCTTCAATTTTGTTTTGTGAATCAGATCAACAAGTTCATGGAAAAGATTCGAATTTAAAGAATGATTCATTTATGAAATTGGTAATTATAGGGAGGATTTAATGATTTTCATTAAATAGTGATGTAAAATTCTCTATTATTGATTGGAATGTAGTGCCTGATGTCAGATCATAAATCCTCATTTATAGTAATTGAATGTAGATTTGAATACATTTCTCCTTTTGTTTTGCACAGAATGAATATCATGAGTTTGGAACACCATGTTGGTGAGTAAATACTGACATTTCATGTATTTTTGGGTGAGCTATAATTTAAATGAAAGGCTGGAGGGTGCCAAGGATCTGATAATTGTTTGTGGTTACACAAACTTCTGAGCTAACAAATGCCAGAATGAGAATCTTCATTCTAGAGTCAAGCAAAAATAGATTGACCCACAAGCTGGATTCATTTTCCAGGGTTTCAGACACACAGGAGTTCAAAATGAAACAGATGAAGGGCGTTTTTCTTGTTTGAACTGCATATGAAATTGATTGAAGTCACCTCGTTAAGCTTGTGCAATTTCCAAGTGCTTCAAAATCAGACTTTCTTAAGGGTTGCTTCCAGTAGTGCAATAAGTACGACCTTTGAACAACAGCACTATTCACGATGACTTGATCGATCCTGATTGTTTTTTAGTATTTTCATATTTCATTATATGAAAAACTTCATTCCAGTCTCCTGAATTGTACATTAAGTACCCATTCCAGCTCTTAGAAACTCACATACGGAATGAATGTTAGAATTTGTAAAAACAACATTGATGACTATTATTAAATAATCATTTTTGTCCATTGACGTAAAAGATGTACATGTCTGGACATAAGAAATTAATACATTCCCATAATGCACTCCTTAAAGTCATTGTTTGCCCCAAAATGAAAATTCTGTCACCAATTACTCACCATAAGAATTCAAATGAAGATATTAATGAAACCTGAGAGATTTCTGTCCTTCCACTTAAAGTCCATTCAAAAAAAGTCATAAAGAGATCTTAAAAGAAATCTGTATAAATAGAACAGTCTTCTGAAGAGACAAAATCACTTTATATGATGGACAGATTTAATTTAGGCTTTTATTCACATATAATCGTTGATCAGTGGACATACATACAGCTCACCAAATATGGTTAACAAAAGCTCAGTTGTACTTGCTTGAGATGCGAGAACAAACCTCAGTAGTTCCTGCACATCAAAAAGCACATTTAAGCTTCCATTTACCATATTTAATAAGCAGAAAACTTGGAGTAAACCGCTTGTTCCATATGGTTTATTTGAAATTTTAGTTGTGTGATCTTTCAATGGAGGGACAGAAATATCTCAGGTTTTGCTTTGTTTGTGTTTCGAAGATGAACAGAAGTCTTATAGATTTGAAACAACACGATGATGGTACATTTTTGGGTGAACTATCCCAAAATAGGTTAAGAAGCTAAACCTTCTGTTAATTATTTTGTGTTTGCTCATTTACTGATTTCAATTTTAATAATACTATTCATCTTTTTTAATAGGAGTATTTCAGTGTGATTTTCGTGTGTCGAATGATCATGCTAACATAAAATCCCTGCAAAGTGCTTGTGTGTAACAGTAATACTATTTTTCACAAGTGGATGATGTGTTGCTTTACATAAGTTATCCAGTAGGGGAAGACATTACACATGAAATCTATTGACACCTGATTGTGAGAGTGTGTAGAAATCAAACCGTGAGTCAGTGCGCTGCAGGCTGAGGTAGTTGGTTGTATGGTTTTGCATCATAATCGGCCTGGAGTTAACTGTACAACCTTCTAGCTTTCCCTGCGGTGGCACCATTACGCCGAGGTGAGTATGAATGACCATCAGCGGCATATAGACAAGCATTTCAAATGTTTTTGACTTAAAATTGAGCTGCAAGGTTGAAAACGAAATATATGGTCTGAATCAGCACAGAAGCACCTTCATTGTTGTTGTTTTTGTAGTTTCAGTGTTTGTTGCACTATCATTCACAGGCTGTTAGTCACCCCTGTCTGCCATATGGCCAGTTTGGATGAGTGCCCAAGTGCCCCCTTCCACAAGAGGGCTCCAACAAATCAGCGGAGTCTAGTAAATTCCTAATTAAAAACAGGAAGGTGGAGATAACAGATTGAAATATATACAAGAGGATAAATGTGTTTTGTGTACTTAATAGGGTTGTTCAACCTCAAACTGTAGCATAGAGAATGGCACTAGCAACGTCAAGTTATTGGTTTGATTCTGAGGGATGCATGAAATGATCAATTGTACCTTGTTTTATGTTGCATTGGATAACATTCAGAATTGCATTGAGACAGCCTTTTAAATTCCAGTTCAATTCCTGAAGCAAATAGGATGCAGAATTTGAAACTGAAATAGAATTAAAAATAGAATGAAATTCCTAAAACTGCTAAAAGTGTAGATTTAAATAAGACATTAATTTTTTTTCTGTGTGAATTACTAATAAACATCAACATATGAGTAGCATATGAGTAAGCAGCATATATAAGTAATTTGAAAAAATATTTTTTTTATAATAAATCAATTTGTATAAAATACATTTTTCTAAAAACAATAAGATGGATATTTTGTGTCACTTCAAAATTAAATTATACGTTTTTTTGTGGCTGTTTTAATTATTGTGATAATACTAAACAGCTCAGAAAGTATTAATCAGAATAAAAAATGTATTCTACATGTTGATAAATATCAACAGACACGAGTTTGCTGGAAGAAGAATTTTAAATCTTACGGGATCCACAGAAGATTTTAATATAATATAATATAATTATTTCAGCAATTTGTGTTGATATGAAATGTTTATTTCGTACACAGATACTTCTGAATTGCTTTTAATGGAGAAGAATTTGTGGAAGCAGATAAATCCGACAAATAATGTTGGTAAAGCATCTCACCTTTTTACTCAAGATAAGCACACAATAGCTGATAAAACTGCAACAGGGGAAGGAATTTTATCATTGGAAATCAATTCACACAAGTATTTATGGTTCAGTACATGGAGAAATAGCACTGCTGTGGCACTCATTCTTCTCATTTTTCCTCAGTATTTTGGACAAAACTAGGTAGCACTTCATTATCCATTTTCCATTACCCATAATCTGCTAATTAACTCATTTTAATGTGTTTTCAGGTGCAAACCACCATTCTTTTCTTCTCAAGCACATACATTATAATAATAGCAGGATATTAGGATGGGTTTTAAGTTGTGAGGTCAGTGTGTTTGCAATTAGCCTCTCAATCATCTCTCCAGCACTCTTATGAATGATTACAGTCTCCTCCTCCTCTGTCTGGCCGCTCACACGGTCTGCCAGGATCCGCATTGCGTTGCCCTTCTCCTCTAAAAAGAGATAAAAAGAGCACATATCAGCAATCTGTGCCTGTCGTTGTTCTTTTCCAGACACGTAAATGCACACCAAGACGTTCAGCCTCACATTACGAGAAACAGAGAAATCACACCCAGGAGAGACTGGATGGAGACAGATTCGAGAACAAAGAAACAGTCTTGTGCACATAAACAAACCTGCGCAAATAAAAACCTCCCATGCGTAGCCTCAAGAAAAGCTATGATTAAATGGAAAATTCCAGATTTTTGATCATACAGTGAGAATTACTTGTGAACAAATGCGCCATAGATCTTTATGCATTAATTTGATTGCATGCTAGAACAGGTGTCTCAAAGGACGTTTTTTTTTGCAAACAGGGCTACACCTCGATCCCCATCCTTATTTTACTGCATAAAAGTACGTCATGGTATTCTGCACTTTCTGTCATAGTCATGTTGCCTGATTCTTGCTCACTTGACTGTTCTTCCAAACACTTCGTCTGTCTCTGGTGTTTTGGCTCGTTATCTTTTGATTAATCCATCTAATTGTTTGTTTCCCTTTTCAATACGGCCCTGATTGGTTGTGTAACTTCTTTGTTTGTTTGTTTATTCAGCTCCATCATCAGTGTGTGTTTGATGAATTCACAATGTGGATCATGAATATTTATCGTGCACAGGCTGATGGTGTTCAGATCCTGGAGATTATATACTCGCTGTGGATTTAAGGTGAAGTGAAGTGACGTGTGGTCAAGTATGGTGTCCCATACTCAGAATTTGTGCTCTGCATTTAACCCATCCAAGTGCACACACACACACACACACACACACACACACTGTGAACACACACCCAGAGCAGTAGGCAGTCAATGCTGCGACACCCGGGGAAACAGTTACAAATGTACTTTTTGATTAGTGACCTATAGAAATAGAACAGAATATTAAATGCTTTTATTTACTAATTTTAGGTCATAACTTGTCTTAATTATTTTTATTTTTTTTAAATAAATCTCCTACTTATTTCCATGTTTAAAACCCATACGTCCAGCTTGTTCTCAGATTTTCGCTCCCCACAGTATATTATTAAAGAGTCTTTAGATTATTATGTAACCTGCGAGCTCTTATGAATGTATCATATGACGTGCTAGTCTGAATTGAAATGGTGTAGCCTAACATGCATGCACAGAGTTTCCTCATTCGGGCTTAATTGAGTCATTCCAACCTGCCATTAGATCAGATCTTTCAATCAAAGGAAGGAGTTTGGTATAATGCAGCATGATGGCTGGTGACACTTTTCATTACTGCAGGGTAATCACCCCCGAGCTTTTGTTGTCTGGGAGAGGAATCTCGTTCTCTCTCTCTCTCTCTCTCTCTCTCTCTCAGAAATTATCTTTAACTCACAATCTCCTCATCTATCCCATATTGTCTCATCTGTTCCATTTCACACACACAGACACCCTTCCAAGCCTTGAGATCAGTCACAAGGTGTTATGACTGTTCTTGCGTTCGAGTGCCAGACATTGCTGTGGGGGGGGGGAGAAAGAAAGAAAGAAAGAGAGAGAGAATGGCAGATAT